AGAGAGAGAGAGAGAGAGAGAGAGAGAGAGAGAGAGAGAGAGAGAGATCTAGTCTGGTGCACCAGTACATTTGGTAAGTCGCTCGCCTCTAATGACCCCCCCTTACGAAGAACGAACCCCTCTTTACAACAGCTTGCGACGGCGCTACACGGCGCGTCCCAGCAGAAGCGCCCTTGGGAGCAACACATTACAGCAGTTACGAAGACAACGCACATGAAATCGAGCCAGGAAGTAGGCCATCAAAAAACGACACACACATATCTCACCGAATCGTTCCTGTTCCCCTGCCGGGCGGAGGATCGTACGCGTGCGTCTTCCTTCCAGGCCTCAAGCTGGTTGGTGAAAGGGTAGTCCAGTGATTGCGGGCGGTTGTGTTTCAGCTCCGACGCAACCTCTTTCCGCTCTGCCGCACGCGGCAGCGCCGAGGGGCATGATGGAACATGACTGGGCGACAAAAAAAAAAAATACCCTGAAAGCTTTGTAAGGAGAGTCTCAGAGCCTTAAGCGTTGTCTCTATTGACGGATTGATACCAGCACATCGTCTCTAGGAGATATTGTGTGGCAACACCAGAGTTCCCGGGTCGTCTGGCTCTTATGCTCTCGGAGAGGTCGTGAGATACTCGTGAACCGCGATGATATCATTGCAGCTTGCCACCAATGCACAACATCCAGGCCCCCACACGCCTAGCACACGGTTCGTAGGCAGCGGTAAATGGCTCTCACTCCAGAAATTGAGCCGGCGCTGTACCGAAAATTCCACACCGAGGGTCTCTGCCAAAGCAGCATGATCTCCAGATGGTATGAAGCCGTGGTGGGTTTAACCCCAACAGAACTGGGAGTCGTCCAAGACGAGGAAAGTGCAATAATCCGGCTGAATGCTGACGAAGGCCTCAACGACGGGGGTTGTGGCGGAGTAAAACAATATTCACAAGCGAACTTATATCTCGGATCAGGAGAGAGAGCTAATGGTACATGTTTAGTCACACACGGGTTGGTTTGATCCCTGGATCTCTCGTCTCAACTCGAATCTTCCCAGGAAATCGTCGTACTGCAGGAGAAGAAGCAGTTACAGAATGTCTGTAGGTATTGCCTGACGAATTCCACCCAAAACAAATTGCCCGACAAATCCCATCCCCCAAAACTCGAGCGAATAAGGCGGGAGCTCTTGCCCGTAGTAGAGTAAGCGCCTGATAGTCAGCTTCCCGGCATGGCACACAAGGGCGGCGAGTGACTACAAGTCTGGGACGAAGATGATATGCCATGCGTTGGGGATGTGCTCTCACAACCGAGGGTGGATATCGGTGTGGGAGCGTTCGGTGAAAACTGCTGGCGGCGATGACTCTTCCGCTGTCTGTCTTGGAAAACGGACATCACTTCGGGATCATTCCCAGAATATGTATGTGCTACAGTAGCAATACAGCGGTATGGATTGAATCACACTCCTGCTAGATATTGGAACTTATGCAGTTTTCTCGACATTGATAATCCGCTTTGAATGGGTGCGTACGTCGGGATCATGTTTATAGTGTGTGCGTCTTGTCATCCCACCTCTCCTGGTCGTGACACAAGTAAAACCGTAGAGCACAACAAGGGGGCACGAAAAAAACGTTTTACAACATCTCCGAACCCATTTTCTTACTTGCGAGGATTTTTTTGTTGGGGGGGGGGTTCGGTATTTTTTATGTATAGCAAAGGGGGCCGGCCGTGTGGAACCCACTTCCTTTGGGGTACCCTGTGTGCGAGAGTTAGGATCCTCTCTTGCGGACCCCGAAGCCATGATCACACAAAATATGTACTGCTTTGAAGAACATTAAGAGAGCTCCGAAACCCACTCAAGGTATGCGCGTCGACACCAGTACAACACGATGTGTCCCCCGTATGCAGCTTGCGTGAAGTGGGCTCTACGCACCATGAGAAGCAACGAGTCGGAAAAAAAATACAGGTAGCCGTCGCTGGCGCTACGGATTCATTGCTAATCTATCTAAGGCGATTTCTTACGGCTTGATTATTTCGGAGATTTTTTTCTCTCGGTCGGGGGGGGGTGGCCTGCACGGAAAAAAGTATCGAGATCCAAACGACCGTCTTACGGTTCCTCGAGGCATATTATTTTCTGAAGGGAAGAAAGAGGCTGAGTCATGTTGTTGTGAGTCACAACATGTTTCAGTACACGGTTTTGGCTCGTGTGCGACCAACAAGACACCGAGCGTCCTGTTTATGGGTCGCCTGCAGAGGGCATGTGTATCATCGCACGCCGGTGGTTGCAGTTTGTGGATGTCGTCGGCCAAGGGCTTCTCTCTGATGGCATGCGTTGTACCAGTACACTGATCACACTCGACTCGGAGCACAGCAGAAAAAAAAAGGCAACTTCCAAAAAAGTCAACACCGCAACACACTTTGGTTCACGTTTGCAGGCCGTGTGCAATCAGAACTGGACAATACGCTCTGTTTCTGGGACGCGAGCAGAGGGTATGTGTGTGACCACACGCCACTGGCTGCTGTTTGTGGACATCGTTGGCCAAAGGCCTCTCCCTGGCATGCGTTTTTGACTGGTCGCGGGTGACACACGAAGCAAACACGAGGCGGAACAAGAAAAAAGACCAAAATGTCAACACCGCAACACACTTTGGTCACGTTTGCAGGCCGTGTGCAATCAAAACTGGACAATACGCTCTGTTTCTGGGACGCGAGCAGAGGGAATGAGTATGACCACACGTCATTGGCTGCAGTTGGTGGATGTCGACGGCTTAAGGCCTCTCTCTGGCGTGCGTTCTGAACTGTTCACACATGAATCAGGCACAAAAACGGCTCTTTTTGACCCAAAGGCAAGAACGTCAGCAGAGCAATGTGGCAGGGTTGACGTTTTCGGCTCGTGTGCGGCCAACACGACGCAGAACGCCCTGAATTTTAGATACCTGCAGAGGGTTCGAGCATGGCCTCATGCTTTTTACTGGCCTCTGTTTGGCCAGCAGACGGTGTAGTTCCGCGTTCTGGAACGATCGGGGTGTGACCAGGGGGTACCCCCCCCCATTTCTAAGAGCGATATTTCAACAGGATCGCTGTAAGAAAATGGGCCAATTTTCTAATAGGACCGCCGGGATTCTTGAAAGTATTCGGGCTGTGATAATTTGGGCTGTTGGAAAATGCCATTTTCCTCCGCGTAAGGCTGACTCTTATGGCTCCCGAAAGTTGGCCACGGAACGGATTTATTTTTCCATTTTCGTGGCATGTCCATCTTATNGACGGCTTAAGGCCTCTCTCTGGCGTGCGTTCTGAACTGTTCACACATGAATCAGGCACAAAAACGGCTCTTTTTGACNGCAATCAAAACTGGACAATACGCTCTGTTTCTGGGACGCGAGCAGAGGGAATGAGTATGACCACACGTCATTGGCTGCAGTTGGTGGATGTCGACGGCTTAAGGCCTCTCTCTGGCGTGCGTTCTGAACTGTTCACACATGAATCAGGCACAAAAACGGCTCTTTTTGACCCAAAGGCAAGAACGTCAGCAGAGCAATGTGGCAGGGTTGACGTTTTCGGCTCGTGTGCGGCCAACACGACGCAGAACGCCCTGAATTTTAGATACCTGCAGAGGGTTCGAGCATGGCCTCATGCTTTTTACTGGCCTCTGTTTGGCCAGCAGACGGTGTAGTTCCGCGTTCTGGAACGATCGGGGTGTGACCAGGGGGTACCCCCCCCCATTTCTAAGAGCGATATTTCAACAGGATCGCTGTAAGAAAATGGGCCAATTTTCTAATAGGACCGCCGGGATTCTTGAAAGTATTCGGGCTGTGATAATTTGGGCTGTTGGAAAATGCCATTTTCCTCCGCGTAAGGCTGACTCTTATGGCTCCCGAAAGTTGGCCACGGAACGGATTTATTTTTCCATTTTCGTGGCATGTCCATCTTATGGGCACGGATGCGGCGGGTTAAGGGTCCAAAACATTCGTTTGGAACATCTGGGCCGAGGGCCCAACGAAAGTTGGGCATATATGTCGTATGGGAATCGGGCCCGGATGTTGCCGACGGATTGTTCGTTTTGATCGAACACGCTGAAATCGCGGGGTCACATCGCATCCATCCCGAGCGGCAACCGAGCGTGGCGTGTGTGTGCACGAGCTTTCCAGCACCCAGCACAGACTGGACCGGGTGCGCGATGGAGCACGCGAGTGCGGCCGACGACAGCGGCAGCGACGACGAACGACATGCCCACCTAGTTGTTCTTCTTGCAGCAGCGAAGCGGAGACGTCGCGAGCGGCAACGCGCTGTGCTTACGGTGGCGACCTGGCGAGTTGTCCTGCGGTCCTTCCCAGATGGCGACGAGTTGGAGGACGAAGGCCTTGGCGGTGGCTCCCCCGTGAAGCGTACCCGCCGAGTTCTTCCACGGCCAGACTACCGCGCCTCGTTTTGGTGGCGCATGCTGGGCGAGACGGGCCTCAAGGAACCAGCGTCAAGAGAGGCCAAGCTTTTTCGGAGGCGCTTCCGCATCCCCTACCAGTTCTTCACCGAGCTCATGGAGCTAGTCAAGGAGAAGAAGTGGTTCCCCATGCGCAAGAAAGATGTGGCCGGGCGCATGTAAATCCCAGTCGAGCTGAAGGTGATGTATTATTGAGACGTGCCGATTCCAAAACTGGCATGCATGCATCCATCTAGACTAATAGACTATATGCACACATTGTGTGCATACTGAGAACAAGGACACTNTCAAGGAGAAGAAGTGGTTCCCCATGCGCAAGAAAGATGTGGCCGGGCGCATGTAAATCCCAGTCGAGCTGAAGGTGATGTATTATTGAGACGTGCCGATTCCAAAACTGGCATGCATGCATCCATCTAGACTAATAGACTATATGCACACATTGTGTGCATACTGAGAACAAGGACACTGTATGGTCTACACACGCACGCACGTAGTATGTGAAATACAGAGTGGCGCGACTGGGTGTCGTAGGAGAGCAAGGGCAACGTAAGTATGGTCTACAAATAGTCTACATTCATGAACGAAGTGTGCAGCAGTACAAAGTCGTACCGTAGACCGCAGGGCTTGTGCCAAAGATGAGAAAAACGTGGTGTACACCTATAGAAGCTGCTGCAGGCAGATTTTATTCTCGCCAAACCCCCCATGCCATTTTTACGTCTATCGCCAGGGCTGCTGATGTAGGAAGATTCTGCTGTGTTGCTCATGCCCCTTCCGGTTTGCCATGTTCTTTAAGTAGTCGAAAATGCAGCGCCGCGGCTAACCTGACAACCGACGACCAATTCCCGCCGACCGCACACCGCGCACGACGTCAATGTGCACAGGTCTTGTCATCCCTGCACATCTTGGGTAGGGGAAACTTCTTCGGGGACATGGGCCAGGCTTCACACATGAGTAAGGGCGTTATACAGGCTAGCTTTCACAAGTTCACGAAGCTTTTCGCCCAGGAGTTTTATCACGACCACGTGTGTATGCCCACTGGCGAGGACCAGGACAAGGCGACCTACACTTCATGAAATGTCTGCCGCACCTTTTTTTTCTTCGTGCGACTACACAAATTCTCCCTTCTTCCCCTCGCTCCTCGACAAGCGTTTGCTTAGACATGGGTTGTAGNTTGGTATAGAGTGGGACAGGGAGGGGGTGATGCTACTGTAGTCGAACGGTGGGACGGACGTGCAGTTCAGTTTTTGGGCACGCATACGGTGCTGCAGGGATTTGTAGGTGTACCTCTTCGGGCTCTTGGATACCTTTTTCTCAATTTATTTGTGCGTGTTCTTGAGATCCTCAAATGGCTCTAGCACTTTCGTGACCACGGGCTGAGAGTCTTTGCTAGATTTTGGCATTTGGCAACTGACATACGGTTTAATGTGAAGACAACAACAACAACACTTGCTTTCCGCTGTATCCGTTGAAGACCATTCCGCCCGTATTTCCTTGCGCAACCGGTCGCCCCGGTGGTCTAGTGGTATCCTCGTAAACCGCTAGTCGCAGAGGTCGTGCTAGACGCAGAGGTCTTGACTTCGAATCCCCATTGGGTGAAAAAAAAATAAAGTTTGCGGGTGAAATGAAAATATAGCTGAAAAGCTCTCGTGAGTGCCAACTTCGACGTTAGTACAGTTGACGAGGAAAGGGACGGCTGGTCCTTCTCGCGATAGAAACAAAATTAGGCACGCAACGCAGGAGGAAGGTAGGGCATCTTGACAAAATACATGGAAGAAATAAGCCCTGGGGTTTACCCCCTCCGGTGTGACCCTTGATGGTTGTAGTTATACGAAAGAATAGACTGAAAAGTGCAGTACTCTAGTTACATGCGCTGAAAAGTGCAGTACACGTCTCACCACGAAGAATGGAGGGCCTGTCGCCATAATAAATAGGACGAAAACATAAACAAAAATAAACATGTTTCTGTGTACTCTCTTGACAGGCGCCGGTCAATATTGATTCGTCCATCCGGTCTACACTAAAAAAAGTTGCGTATGTATGCGTCCCGCGTGTTCGGTTAGAGCGTGTTTGATTGAACGGCACAGTGTGCGTGATTGAAAAACACAGACCCGTAGCAAGCAATAAGAATGGCCTCAAACAATGCGCTCGCACGGCCGAGCACGTTTATCGCAATGCGTAATGTTCTCATGTTGGTTTAGCTGCGCGCAAGCTTTGCTTACAACGACGAAGTTGTTACTGCTTTGTTTGGTGCCCCACAAAACACACGACGTCTTCCCGGATCGATATAAACATTATCAGGTGATGGAGGCGTATGATCTCCTGGGGTTCACGGGAGCGATAGGGTCAACCGACGTCACCCATATCCGGTGGGCGTGCTGCCCCTATTCTTGGGCAAGGCAGTACACGCGGATGGAAGGGTTCCCGAGTATCGCGTACCAGGCGATCGTAGATCACACCGGGCGTGTTCTTGCCGTTACGAAGGGCTTCGCCGGTGCCATGAACAAGACCATCATCCGGTACGACACGGCAGTGGCGAAGATCTGCCGTGACCCTGTCTACACGGAGAAGGTGTACACGCTCTTCGACAAGAACGGCCAACCTTTCGAGCGCAAAGGAAACTACAGCATTGTGGACAACGGGTACAACAAGGTCAGGAGGGCGGTTTGCAAATTCTGTGATTGTCCGGCTCGTGCCGTTTCCAGTGTGGTGTGGGCATGTTCCACAACTGCGATTTGAATGGACCGTCTGCTGAATCTTTGGAGCAAGTTTGGTACCCCCAACGTGTGTGTTGACGTACAACACATGACTTCTTCAAGATAGCACGTCAATGCCTCAGAGGAGCCTGCGTGTGCCCCCCCATCGTATGGGTGGTGCCTTCTCTTCTTTTTTCAAGGGTTTACTCGGTAAAATACCGCCAGTAGGCGGTATTGGCCCTCCCATCGCGAAATAAGGTCGGACAAAAAAGGTTGGGTGCAAAAGTTTTTTTGCTGCAAGAGGCATCAGTTTCAGCGTCGACCATCTTTCGGGGGGTGCCTCAATCGCAACAGGTCTGTCGCGGAGTAGCCCGAGCTTCGTTTGAGAATTTTTCGACATGATTTTCCGCCGTAAACTTTAAACCCTTGCGGGGAAGAAGTCGCCGCGAAACGTCACATCAAAAAACAAAAGATGAAAGGAAGCTCAGGCTTCTCCGCCACCGACCTGTTGCTACTGAGGTACCCCCGAGAACCGACGCCCCACACACACACCACCACAGGGAGTTCAAGCACGACCATCAAGCTTGGTGTTGAAATATCAGCGGCGGTGTCCCCCTGGTGTTATCCTTTCTGCTCGGGTAAACAGCGTGGCAGACCCCACCTCTGGAGTGGACGGTTAAAGTTACGGTATCATCACGGTTTGGTCAACCGCTGTTTTCCGGACATAGCAGCAACACCCGTCCGACTTAGGTCGGCCCGAATCGTCCTTGCGAATTGCTACTGTAGCTTGTATTCTGATGTTTTCTGTTGTCGAAGGGGTCAAGGGTTTTGGTAAGAGCACCCCCAACCGTTCCGTCGAGAACCGTGCGTGTGCCTCCTATGGTAACAGTACCTTTGCTGGTATATGTATGTGAATATTGCCTTCTCCCCCCCCCCCCCCGGTGTTTGCCATCGGAATTGGGTTTTCGTCGCTTGGCAAAGAGGTCAATGGTCTAACGACGACGGCATGCACGACTATGAGTACACCCCCCCCCACCTAATGGCTGTCGACGACCGGTTTTTTGGGAGCAATGCTCCGGCCTCTCGAGGACACGTGGTCAATACAACGGCTGCGGCATACAGAGCACAAGCACCCCGTCCCCGCCCGGAGAGCCCGCACCTTTCTCTTGCCGCTACGCCGCGTTGCGAGCCAGGGTTCTCTTTTGCACGTGCCCCCGTTTTTGTGGGCGTTCTTGTGTTGTTCATATTCTACCGCGCTGCAGCAAACCATGCCCGTCACGCCCGCATCGCTCGCACGCCCTTCGCCATGCCTTGTTTTCTCTTTTAATCTAGTGGGAGATTCTTATTCCCCCTACGAAATACCCTCAGACTGACATGGAAAGCAAGTGGAGCAAAGCGCCGGAGAGCGTCCGAGAAGACGTCGAGTGCTTCTTCGGCATCTTGAAGGGCCGCTTCAGGATCCTAAAGTTGGGAATCCTTTTCCAGGACAAGAACGTCATCGACAACTTGTTCTTCACGTGCTGCACCTCACACAACGTGCTGCACGCGTTCGACGGGCTGGACGAGCTCGAGACTGTCGAAGACTGGGGAGGGAGGGCGGGTCTCCACGATGCTTGGGACAACGACCCTTTGTTGGACGAGAGTACTGTGGGTTCCACCAGCCCCACCCCGGCGGACGATGACGGCACCACCACGATCCCAGAAGCAGCCCATGAGGAGTTGAAGAACGCGCTTATTGCGCACGTTGAATTCCGTAGATAGAAGAACGACATTCGGTGGCTCAGACATGCCACGACTGGCTAAAGTGCACGTGGTGCTTTTTTTGGTTTGGTGTGCGTGAATTTCTTTTCTTTAACGCGCGTGTTTTCGTTCAGCCTGAGAACTGTATGCCAAACCGGCTTGGTTGTTTCACGCTCGGAGGGGGTTCGCTGGAGGAGCCGTACTACATGTCCTTAGTATCGTGGCTTTCTTCCTCTGTGTTTTAGAGTGCATTCTCAGGGATTCGACTGATTCACTTCATGGAAGGCACCGTTACATGATCTGCCGCTATNCGCATGTCCTTAGAATCGTGGCTTTCTTCCTCTGTGTTTTAGAGTCCATTCTCAGGGATTCGACTGATTCACTTCATGGAAGGCACCGTTACATGANCGTTCAGCCTGAGAGCTGTACGCCAAACCGGCTTGGTTGTTTCACGCTCGGAGTGGGTTTGCTGGAGGAGCCGTACCGCATGTCCTTAGAATCGT